TAGTTCCTAGGATTGTCTTGGCAGTTAGACTACTAAGGATTTTATGTTGTCTACAGTTATTTTACATGGAATCTCTCTATCTCTTGCTGCTGGACCTTGCTGGTAATATATAGAAATGCTGGTGATTTATGTGGGTTTATTTTTACATCCTGCAACTTTGCTAAAATTAATAATCATTTTAACTAGTTTTTTAGTTGATTCTCTGGGATTCTCCAAGTATACCATCATATCATTTTCAAAGAGTGATAGCTTTGTTTCCTCACTGCCTAGTCTGAATCCTTCGATTTCTTTTTCTTCTCTTATTGCTATAGCTAGCATTTCTAGTACCATATTGAATAACAGTGGTGATAATGAGTGTCCTTGCTTCCCCCCAGATCTTACCAGGAAGGCTTCTAGCTTATCCCCATTACAGGTAATACTTGCTGTTAGTTTTAGACAAATACTACTTATCATTTTAAGGAAAGCTCCATTTATTCCTATGCTTTTTAGAGTTTTTAATAGGAATGAGTATTGTATTTTATCAAAAGCCTTTTCTGCATCTATTGAGATAATCATATGATTTTTGTTAGTTTTGTTATTGTTATTTTTCCTAATATTGAACTAGCCCTGCATTCCTGATGTAAATTTCATATGCTCACAGAATATGATCTTTGTGAAAAGTTGCCATAATCTCCTTGCTAGTATTTTATTAAAAATTTTTGCATCAATATTCATTAGGAAATTGGCCTATAGTTTTTTCCTGTATTTGCTCTTCCTGGTATAGGTATCAGCACCATATCTGCGTCATAAAAGGAATTTGGCAGGACTTCTTCTTTGCCTATTTTTCCAAACAGTTTATATAATATTGGAATTAATTGTTCTTTAAATATTTGGTAGGATTCACTTGTGAATCCATCTGGTCCTGGTGATTTTTTCTTAGGGAGCTCATTGATAGCTTGTTCAATTTCTTTTTTCTAAAGTAGAATTATTTAACCACTGAATATGTCCATTTTGAAGAAGATGGTACTCAGGAAAGGAAATACAAAGCAGAAAAGTAAATTAGTGACCCAATGAGATAATATTTATAAAGCAGTTGGCAAATAGTAGGTGCTTAATAAATGCTTATTCCATTCCATTCTTATTGAAGTCTCCCTACTCTAGCTACCATATGGATGTGGTTAGTGATGAAACTATAATGTGATGCTCTGTCACTCAATGGAAGTCTTAAGAGTTACAGGATGCCACAGGGAAAGTCAAAGAAAGAAATGGAGCTAGAAGGTGTCTCTCTTTTAAACCGGTCATCCTGCCCCTCTGTCAATGTCAAGGGGTGGCATGGAGTTTCTTGGATCATTCCATTGTGATGAGTCCTTTAAGTACCAAGACCTCATATGGCCCAAAGCAGCCAGAAAGTTTCCCCCCAAGCCTAAGTTACTTACCACATCTCTGGAGCCCCTGGAAACAACCAGGGAGGCTCCAGGATGCACAATTCCCCCCAAAATTGGATCCTACAAGTCTGTACTACACGATAAACAAGTAAAAAGAGGTAAAGAATATGAGAATATTGAAATTAAGTGCTACATGCATTACAGATAGATTTGAAAGAATGGGGAGAGCTGGAAAGAATAAAATATTTTGGAGATGTGGCCCATATAATTATCCCTCATCATCTTCTTTATCTGCATGATGAGAGACTTGAAGTCTAGGTGACTCCTGAGGTCTCTTTTAGATATAAATCTGAGACTATGAACCCTTTTCACCTACTCCCCTCCAATGCCTTGCCAAAAAAAAAAGACAATGAGAAGAAATGGGATGAAGAGGACTAGATTTGAAACTGGCTGGAAAGGCACCCAATTATCCTCCTATTATCTTATAGTACTAGGAAGGGGTCACAGGGCTAAAGAAGGACTCTGGGGACAAGGGGGAAGAGGTAGAAGGATAGTTCGCAGAGGTGTGGGTACCTGGCAAGGGAGAGCAGGGATGGGGTAACAGGGTTAAGGGAAGATTTGAAAAAGGTAAGAAAGGGGTATTTGGAAAGAGAAGAGAAGATGGGGGATAACTGGGTGGCTTTCTATCTAGTTTCCAAATCCAGTCCTCCTCATTCCATTTCCTTTTACTATCTGCCTTTTTTTTTGGGGGGGGGGGGGTAGGGAGAGGTCAGGGGAGGGGAGTAGGTAGAAGGGATTCATAGTTTCATAGATTTTGAGCTAAAATAGACCTTAGGAGTCACCTAGTTCAACTCCTTCATTTTACAGATGAGGAAACTGAGGCCTATGAAGGGTTAAAGGACTTACCCAAGGACACAAGTGGCAAAATCTGGTTTTGCATCCAGGTTTTTTGACTCCAAACCCAATGCTTTCCATTACACCAGGCTGTCATCCTAGGTTCAAGTAAGCTGAGTAGAGATCGTGGAACACAGAATTCTAGAGCTCGAAGGAACCTGAGAGATTATCCAGGCCAATCCCTTCATTTTATAAATGGGGGCAGTTGGGAAAGGGAGGGGGCTGGGGGGGGATAGTTGGGAGGGTAGAAGGGGCTGGGGAAGAAGAGTTTGGACAGGAGGAGAGGGTTGGGGATACCTGGGATAGAGACAAGGGAATGAGGAAGAACAGTCTGGACAGAAAGGGATGAGAAATAACAAGTGGAATGGGAATGAGAGGGACAGTTGGGATGGTACCAGTAGAGACAGTTGGGGGAAAAGGACCCCAGGAAAGGTCAGTTGGGATGAAGAGAGCCTCAAAAAGGCATTTTGGGAGACAAACAGAGGGTCACTTACGGCAAATCAGGATGGAAGAAAGATGCTATTAAAGAATAATTTGGATGGGGATATGAGGAGCAAAGATAAAGGGCTTAAGGAGGATTTTTTCCTTTGGAAAAATGGGCTGAGGAGGGACAGTTTGGAAATTGCAATGAGACGGTTGAGTAGTATACCTCATATAGACATGAACGGGGAACTAAGGACTGATAGTCATGACAGTGATAGGGAAATGGGGAGGCACATTTTGGATAGGAAGGTGCTGTCTAGAAATAAGTGGAAAAGACAGGTGTGTTCGGGGAAGGACGGTTCAGAAAGGGACTCTGGGCTGGGGAGGGACACTTGGGAAAGGGGGAGGAGACTGAAAAAAGAAAAATGGGAAAAGGACAGAGGGTGGAGTAAGGACACTCTCAACAGGAGAAGGCTCAGAAGGGACAGTTGGGACAGGGAAAGAGCAGCAAAAGGCAGTTATAACAATTACAGGAGAATGAGGAAAGACAGTTGGGAAAAGAAGACGTATCTGGGGACAAACAATTGGGACAGGCAGATGAGGAAGAACAGTTGGGATAGAAGGAAGACACTAAGGAAAGATAACTGGGAAAGAGGTAGGAGGCTAAAGAGGGACAACTTAAACAGAATGAGGGGATTAGAAGACAGTTGGGACAGAAGGAGGAGACCAAAGAAGAACAGTTTAGACAGAAGAAGGTATCTGATAAAGGAAAGGCTGGATGAGGCGACAGGGCTAAGGATGGACCCGTGGGACAGGGGGAGAAGACTGAAGCGGGATAATTTAGCTAGGAGGAAGTACCTGTCAAGGGAGAGTTGGGATAGGGTGACAGGGCTAAGGAAGGACTCTGGGGACAGGGGGAGGAGACCGAAGAGGGATAATTTAGACAGGAGGAGGTACCTGTCAAGGGAAAGTTGGGATGGGGTGACAGGGCTAAGGAAGGACTCTTGGGACAGGGGGAGGAGACTGAAGGGGAACAGGTACAGGCACGTAACAAAGGAATATTGGGATGGGGTGACAGGGCTAAGGAAGGATCTGAAAAAGCTAAGACAAAAGAGGAATTACATCTTGGGTAAAGGTACAACAAGAATGGGGAGAGAGAATTTAGAAAAGAAGGGGCTTGGGAGGGAAAATTGGGACAAGGGGAGGTACCTGAGGAAGGATCACTGGGAAAGTAACAGGAGCCCCGAGGACAACTTGGACACGCGGAGAAGGCTAAAGAGGGACAGTTTGGACGGGAAAGGGTATAGTGACAGTGATAATTCGGAAAGGATGGGTAAAGTGAGACGGCTTCGGAGGGACAAATTGGGCAGGGTGTGGGAGCTCAAAGGGGGCAGCTGGATCTGTGACTTGAGCCAGGGTACCCAATCCTGGAAGCCTTGCAAGGGTTATCTGGACAGACGGTACAAGGGAAGAGGACAACTGGGAAAGTCTGAGGAGGATGAAACATGATGTTTGGGACGAGGATGAACGTCTGGAGGAGGACCCGGAGCTAAGAAGAGGCAATTATGTCAGGGATGCAGACAGGGAAGACTGGAAGATGCTGAAAATGAGGCATCGGGTTAGGGAGAGGAAACTTAAGAAGGACAGTCGGGACAGGGACTCTGGGAGGAACCCCGAGGACAAGGGGACAGACCTGACGAAACCATCTCCCCACGGGGGGCTTTCCAATGGGGCAAACAAGGCGGTGGAGAAGCCTTCGTCTGGGGAGAGTCACTGGGGTCAGGGGGAGCTGGCTGAGCGCAGCCAGGCGGCACGGAGGAAAGAGAGTGCCGGGGCGGAGCTGCGAAGCGGGGCCAAGCAGAGCCCCCAGGGGACCGTGGAGCCGGAGAAAGAGGAGGTGTGGCCGGGGCCCAAGGGGGCTGAGGAAGGGAAGATGGGCCAGCAGAGGTAGAGCTGGGTCTGGACCGATGGCCGGGGCAGAGCTGGGGACAGCTGGGGCCGAGGGGCAGGGACCGCGACAGTCTGAGCGAGCTCGAAACTGCAGCAGGGCACCAGGAGGCGGGACCCGGTGAGCCTGGGCGCACGTGGAGGAGCCAAGCTGTGCGCACGCGCGGGAGGCGGAACCAATTGTGACGGCGGCGGAGTTTCCGGCCGGCACTACAAAGGTGAGGCCCAGGAGGGCGGGGCGGAGCGGAGCGGAGGGCCCGGTGACGCAGCGGGCCCGGTGACGCAGCGGCTCCGCGGGGCGGGGCGGAGGGACGGAGCAGAGCAGCGGCGCCCCGGGCGGAAGGGGCCAAGCGCTCGGGGGCGGAGGCGGCGGCGGCGGCGGTGGCAGCGGGGGTGCACTGGCGGCCGCCTCTCCATCCAGCCGTCCGTCCTTCGGTCATTCACTCACCCTCCATCATGAGCACCAAGCAGGTCACGTGCCGGTCAGTGCTGGGGGAGGGGATGTCAGGGGCCGGGGGACCTGTGAGAAAGGAGGAGGGGACCCGCCTCCGGTCCGCCCGCAACGGGTCCCCGAGTACTTCCCGCGCCGCGCCGGGGCCGCCGCCTCTGCGTTTTTTGTCTCCGAGGGGGCGGGCGCTTCCCGAGTGCGTGTGGAGTGCCTGAGCCCGTGCTCTGTGTGGTGGGTAGGCGGGGCGAGCGCTGCGTTCCCCATTTCGCTGGTCAAGGGGCGGCTGAGGCCACACCGATCTGGGGAGCCGCCCCTAAAGCGATCCCTCCTTCTGATTCCCGAAATTATAGAGTCCCAAAGTTTGCAGATCCCCTCCCCCCTTAGAGGGCCCGTTCTGGGATCACGTGAGAAAACACCTGACAAGCCCTGTAAAGTGCTGTTTCAGAGTTGGGGCCCCCCCTCCCCTCTTCGAGATCCTTCTTTGGGATCGCATGAAGTAACATCTGGCAAGTGCTTTAAAGCTCTATTTAAGTGCTAGTTATTATCACGATTATAACATTAGATCTTCAAGGGGCAGTCATCTTTCTCGTCTAACCGACTCCTTCAAACTACATGTTATCTCATTGGATCCTCCCCATAACTTTGTGAGGTAGGTGGCATTATTATTCCCAACTTTGTGAAGTGGGTTTTATTATCCCCTTTTACAGATGAGGAAACTGAGCCCTGAACAGGGAAAGTAACTTATCCAAGGTTATACAGCAGCTAGTAAGTGGCGGAAGGATTTGAGTCCACCCAGGTCTGCTTGACTCCAAATCCAGCCTCCTTTCCATGCATCAGGCTGCCTCTCCCATGCAGATAGGTAGGTCTACTAATCCACCCCAGAACCTGAACTGGAGCCCTCACTGCAGTGCCCTACCAAGTGGTCATCCAGCCTCGAAGACCCCCAGCAATGGTGAATTCTGGTACCTACCCACCAAGCACAGTTGTTCAACTTTTAGACAACTCCTATAGGAAGATTTTCCTGATGTCAGGCCAACACCTTGCCTCTTGCAGTTTTATTTTCTACCCTCTGAGGCTTCAGCAAAACAAGACTCACCAATCCCTAGTCCACCTGACAGTCCTTCATATATTTGTGGATAGCTTTTCCTTTGCTCCCTATGCCTTCCAAGCTCAAAGGTCCCATATCCTCCCCTTCTCAAAGGTCCCTGTCAACTCCTATGGCATGATTTCCACTTTGACCTGGGTTTCTTCTGTAGTTCTGTGCTCGTCCGGTATTATGCCAGCCAACACAATGGATTCACATCTTGTTCAGAAAATCAGTTCTGATAGGTAATGTTGTTAACCTGAATAACCTTTTAGAAATAAGAAGTTCACTTCCTTTCAAAAACCACAAGTAAAATCTCCAGAACTCTAGGAAGCTTTCTTAGTTCTTTTTTTTTTTTTTTGGTAGAATTGTCATTTTTATTATATTAGCTCAGCCTACCCGTGTGCAACTGATATTTTTCCAGTTATTTAGATCTGACTTTATTTGTGCGAAAAGTGTTTTGTAATTGTGTTCATATAGTTCCTGAGTTTGTTTTGGCAGGTAGACTCCCAAATATTTTATAATGTCTAGTATAACTTTAAGTGGAATTTCTCTTTCTGTCTTTTGCTGTTGGGCTTTGTTAGTAATATATAGAAATGCCAATGATTTATGTGGGTTTACTTTATATCCTGCAACTTGGTAAATTTGTTTATTATTTCAAGTAATTTTTTACTTGATTCTCTAGGATTCTCTAAGTGTACCATCATATCATTTGCAAAGAGTGATAGTTTTGTTTCTTCTTTGCCTATTCTAATTCCTTCAATGTCTTTTTCTTCTCTTATTGCTAAAGCTAACATTTCTGTACAATATTGAATAACATTGGTGATAATGGACATCCTTGTTTCACCCCCCATCTTATTGGAAATGCTTCTAGCTTATCCCTGTTACATATAATTGCTGATGGTTTTAGATAGATCCTACCTATCATTTTAAGGAATACTCTATTTATTCCTATGCTCTCTAGTGTTTTTAATAGGAATGGATGTTGTATTTTGTCAAAAGCTTTTTCTGCATCTGTTGAGATAATCATATGATTTCTGTTAGTTTTGTTGTGATATGGTCAGTTATGCTGATAGTTTTCCTAATATTGAACTAGTCCTGCATTCCTGTATAAATTCTACCTGGTCATAGTGTATTATCCTCCTGATAAGTTGCTGTAATCTCTTTGCTAATATTTTATTTAGAATTTTTCCCTCTATATTCATTAGGGAAATTGGTTTATGGTTTTCTTTCTCTGTTTTGGCTCTTCCCGGTTTAGGTATCAGTACCATATTTGTATCATAAAAAGAAGGACTCTTCACCTGTTTTCCCAAATAGTTTATATAGTATTGGAATTAGTTGTTCTTTAAATGTTTGATAGAATTCACTTGTAAATCCATCTGGCCCTAGAAATTTTTTCATAGAGAGTACATTTGATGGCTTTTTCAATTTATTTTTCTGATATGGGGTTATTTAAGTATTTTATTTCTTCTTCCATTAATCTGGGCAATTTATATTTTTGTAAATATTCATCCATTTCACTAAGATTGTCAAATTTATTGGCATGCAGTTGGGCAAAATAGCTCCTAATTTTTGTTTTGATTTCCTCTTCATTGGTGGTGAATTCATCCTTTTCATTTTTGATGCTGGTAATTTGGTTTTCTTCTTTATTTTTTTAAATCAAATTAACAAAAAGTTTATTTTATTGTTGTTGTTGTTGTTGTTTTTTCCATAAAACCAGCTCTTGGTTTTATTTATGAGTTTAATAGTTTTCTTAATTTCAGTTTTATTAATCTCTCCTTTGGTTTGCAGAATTTCTAAACTTGTTATTTACTATTATTTTTTTTTTTAGGCAGTTGGGGTTAAGTGACTTGCCCAGGGGTGTTTGGTCTTAGGCTGGATTTGAATTCAGGTCCTCCTGACTTCGGGGCCGATGCTCTATCAACTGTGCCACCTAGCTGCCTCCGGTTTGCAGAATTTCTAATTTGGTATTTTAATTGGGGTTTTTCAATTTGTTCTTTTTCTAGCTTTTTTAGTTACATGCCCAATTCATTAATCTCTTCTTTCTCATTTTATTCATGTAAGCATTTAGAGATATAAAACTTCCCCTAAGAACCACTTCTGCTGCATCCCCTAAGTTTTGGTATGTTGTCTCATTATTGTCATTCTCCTGGATGAAGTTGTTTCTGTGATTTGTTGTTTGACCCACTCATTTTTTAGGATTCAGTTATTTAGTTTTCAATTAATTTTTAGTCTGTCTTTCCATGGCCCTTTATTATGTGTAATTTTTATTGCATCATGATCTAAAAAGGATGCATTTAATATTTCTGCCTTTCTGCATTGGATTGTGAGGTTTTTATGCCCTAGAACATGGTCACTTTTTGTGTAGGTGCCATGTAGCACCAAGAAAAAGGTATATTCCTTTTTCTTCCCGTTCAGTTTTCTCCAGAGGTCAACCATATCTACTTTTCTAAAATCCTATTCATCTCTTTAACTTCTTTCTTATTTATTTTGTGGTTAGATTTATCTAGTTCTGAGAGGGGGAAGTTGTCCCCCACTAGTATAGCTTTGTTATGTTTCGTCTTGTAACTTCCGTAACTTCCTTAACTTCTCCTCTAGGAATTTGGATGCTATACCACTTGGTGCATATATGTTTAGTAATGATATTACTTCATTGTCCATGGTACCTTTAGCAGGATGTAGTTTCCTTCCTTATCTCTTTTAATTAGATGTATATTTTGCTTTTGGTTTCTCTGAGATCAGGATTGCTACCCCTGCTTTTTTTAACTTTAGCTGAAGCATAATATATTCTGCTCCAGCCTTTTAACCTTTACTCTGTGTATATCTCTCTGCTTCAAATGTATTTCTTGTAAACAGCATATTGTAGGATTATGGCTTTTAATCCACTTTGCTATCGCTTCCATTTTATAGGAGAGTTCACCCCATTCACACTCACAGTTATGATTACTATCTGTGTCTTTCTCTCCATCCTGTTCCCCCCTTCTCCGCTTTATGCTTTTCTCTCTCCTTTCTCCCTTTCCGTCCTCACTAATGTTTTGCTTTTGACCACTGCCTCCCTCATTCCACCCTCCCTTCTATTAGCCCCTTCTCTTTTCTTCCCCTTTACCCTTACTACTACTTCCCTCCTTTCTATTCACTCCGTCCCTTTTCTTTTCTCTTTCTCCCCTCCTACTTCCTATAGGTTGTTAGATTTCTATACCTAACTGAATGTTATTCCCTCTTGAACCACATCTGATGAGTAAGGTTCAAACAATGCTCATCTCCCTTCCATCTTTCCCTCTACTGTAATGGGTTTTTTGTGCCTTTTCACATGATGTAATTTACCCTTATCTGCCTCCAGCTTTCCTTTTCTCCCAGTACAGTTCCTTAATCAGATCCACTTAATCCCCTTAATTAGATCTACTTTACCCACTTAATTAGATTTTTTTATCTTTACATCAAAGTCACCTTATACCCAACCCCCTCTATGTATACCCCTTTTAAATGGCATAATAACAATACAGTTCTCAAGAGTTACAGGTATCATCTTCCCTTGTAGGGATGTAAACAGTTTGCCCTTATTAATAACATGTTGTTTTTTCTGTCCTGTTTACCTTTTTATGCTTCTCTTGAGTCTTGTATTTGAAGATCAGATTTTCTGTTGAGCTCTGGTCTTTTCATCAGGAAGGTTTGAAAGTCCCCTATTTCTTTAAATGTCCATCTCCTCCCCTGAAAGATGATGCTCAGTTTCGCTGGGTAGCTGATCCTTGGTTGTAATCCAAGCTGCTTTGCCTTATGGAATGTTGTATTCCTCTGATCTTTTAATGTAGAAGCTGCAAGGTCCTACATAATCCTGACTGTGGTTTCATGATATTTAAATTGTTTCTTTCTGGCTGCTTACAGTATTTTCTCTTTGACCTGGTAATTTTGGAATTTGGCTACAATTTTCCTTGGTGTTTTCAATTTGGCATCTCTCTTTCAGGTGGTGATGGGGTGGATTCTTTTTTTTTCCGCCTTCTTTTTTAGGCAATTGGGATTAAGTGACTTGCCCAGGGTCACACAGCTAGTAAGTGTCAAGTGTTTGGTCTGTGGCTGGATTTGAACTCAGGTACTCCTGACTTCAGGGCTGGTGCTCTCTCCACTGTACCACCTAGCTGCCCCTCAATGACTATTTTATCTTCTGGTTCTAGGATCTCAGGGCAGTTTTCCTTGATGATTTCCTGAAAGATGCTTTCCAGGCTCTTTTTTTAATCATGTTTTTCAGGTAGACCAGTAATTTTTAAATTGTCTCTCCTGGATCTATTTTCCAGGTCAGTTTTACCAATGAGGTATTTTACATTTTCATGTATTTTTTCATTCTTTTGTTTCTGTTTGATTGATTCTTGCTCTCTCATAGAGAGTCATTAGCTTCCACTTGCCCAATTCTAAATTTTTTTGGGGGGGGTGAGGCAGTCGGGGTTAAGTGACTTGCCCAAGGTCACACAGCTTAAGTGTCAAGTGTCTGAGGCAGGATTTGAACTCGGGTCCACTTGACTCCAAGGCCAGAGCTCTATCCACTGCGCCACCCAGCTGCTTTTTAATGAATT